ACTAGCATGCTATATGAGCTGAGAAATTATATGACCTCCCATGAGTAAGTGATTAGTTGACTCTACATTCTAAAGAAAATAGGCTTCCTACAGACTAAGTAGATGTTAAATATTCTGAGATGATTCTTTTCAGTACAAAGAGTTATTGAATCAAATCATGGGGGAGCCTTGTGCATATGGAGGAGCAAACTCTCCCTTTGAACTTACTAGAATCTTACCTCCATCTGAAATTCCAGCATCTTAGACTTCAAAAAGGAAAATTTAAGTTGCTTGTCATAAAAACACACTTGGATGTGAAAGCCACTGGAATTCTTCAGTTCACTGTCTTAGACGCATACCTCTAAGTTGGTCTTCAATCTGTCTCCAGTTAAGAGAAATGCATAGAGAATAAATGCTTCTCTGAGCCAACATGCATCCCACGTGACTGTTTCCTTCTGTGCACTTAACACTGTCTTATCATAATTGCAGCTGCTTAAGATTTTGCAGCTCGGTGCCCCTCCTCCCCAACCATTTTCCCCTTCTCAATACTCACTGTTTGACATAGAGCTCTGTATTTTAAATAGTTTAGACTCAGCAGCAGTAAATGTTTTCAAGCTTCAGATAACATTACCAAAGCGAAGACAGGATAAGTTTAAAACATCTGTGATGCCAAACTTCAAGGAAAAGAAAAAGAAAAAAATAGCAAAACATTGTTTGTCAGACTGTCACTAAACACTGTCACTCAGAATCAGTTCCATTTGTGTATGAAAACTTCTGTTCCCGGTTATGAAAAAAAAAAAAAAGCTTAGGATTTTTTTCTAAGAGAAAAAGACATCATCTTCTCTAGCTAAAGAATAGAAGCTTTTAAATTACTCCCTGGGAGGGACTGTAGGGAAAATAAATAACTCTAAGAAGAATAGCATGCCTATTATGGGGCTGTTACTAAGATTTCAAAACAAGGAGGCATCCTGGAGAACCCATTTCAAGCAGTGGTTGCCATCTCGTAGAGATCCACTTTGAAAACAGGAATATTATATTTCAAACTGAAGTCAAGGAAAAGGAAAGTTCCCTTGCCATGCATCTGATGAATCAGCTGGCCTTTCTCAAACCTTCTGCTGTAAGTCCTGTGCTCCACTGTTCAACTCTTGGAACAGTTTTGTGAGTGGGAAACAGAAGGCAAGCAAGATCTCCCACCTCAGTTCACTTTCCTCCCATAGGCAAAGACTTTACCTTCATTTACTCAGTTCCTTGACAATAGACAAAGAAAAAAAAATGTATGCTTACCACACCTGGTTGGAAATCCTTCCTGTTGAACTCGTCACTGTCACCTTCTTAATCCACTTATGATGACAGAGTGCTGATTTGTACATCTGATTACTGAAGCCTAATTACTGTTGAACTGAACTCACATGGCACGATAAAATATACATCACGTGCTCAGGAATGAGATCCAGTTGGACCCATTCTTCTTGTGTTACTGGTGACCTTATTTATAGTCTTAATCAAAAGTGAACTTTGCCAAATAGTCTGTCATGCCTCCAGGCACTGGAGCTCTTCCTTGAAGGCCTCAAACTAGCCTTATAAGGAGGTAGGTAATGAAGTTTGGCTTCACAAGTGGAAATTATTAATTTATTAGAGTTCTTTGAGGTGGAAAATAGGCATGTAGATAAAGGAAAACCCACAGATGCAGTCTACAAAGTCTTTAAAAAGCACTTTTGAAAGTGTTCCACACCAAGAGTTACTAATAAATGCAAATGCTATATTCCTGGGGTGAAAGAACACTCTTTTATCTCAAAGAATGAACTTGCTTAAGAGATGAAAATAAAATACTCAGAAAACACAGCCTCCTTTCCTGTATAGAAAGAAACTAGGAGGGAAAAGAATGAGGTTCGCCGGGGTCAGCATGATGATGGACCATGTTTAACATGCATCTTGTATTATGTTTGTAGGCAGAATCTTCCTCTCTGCTGGCAAGGTTCCCTATTAAATACATACTTTCAGTAATTGCAGGCATGACCTAGGAGCCAGAATCTTTATGTCTTGACTGATACCTTGCAATCATAGCTAATTTGTTATATGCCAAGAACTCTGCCGAGAACTTTGCAGGAATTAATCTGACTCTTCTTTATAACACCCCAGAAGGTACTACTGTACCCATTTTATAGGTGAAGAAATTGAGGTACCGAGCAGTTAAATGATTTCTCCAAGTCACACAGTGAATGACAGAGATACAAGTGTAGATAACAAACTTCTTTTCAGTAATGATTTGGGAGAAGAAACTGGACATCACTGATAGTTGTTTACTAAAAGTGCTGCCTGGGTTTGCAGCACCTCCCACAAGCCTGACATATTTCCTAGACTTCACTGGCTATTTACTTGCCTATGTGGAATAAGTAGCTCCTGTTGCGAAGAAGGTATAAATGATGAGAAAAAAAAAAAAAGAGTAGCAGCAAACAAATAAAGGACTGGGTCTCTTCTTTACTGCTGGTGAAGAATAGTGTCTTCCTTTTTACTGTCTGTTTGCCTGTCCATCTCAGTCTGTGTCTCTCTGTCTCTGTCTCTCTCTGTACATATGCATGCATGTGTGCATTCAAAATGCTTCAGGCACTTCATGACACCATGGGTTTACTAATGCTTAGAAGACAGAAACAATGGGGTAAGAAATATGAACTTATTTTCAAGAGTACCTAAGGAAGGGGATACTAGAAAAAAAGTTAGATATTTATTTCTAGAGACCCAATGCTGTGGGAGGCTGAAGGCAAGTCTGAACAGAATCATCTTTATTTATTTATTTTTATTTTTTGGTCTTTTTGAGACAGGGTCACCCTGTAACCCCAGCTGTCCTGGAACTCACTATGTTTTAATAAAAAAATAAATTGGTGGGATGTGAGGGTAGACACCAAGAGCAAAGGTATAACATTGCCATACTTTATCCCAGGATGGTTTTAATCAAGCAAAATTAAATTTGGGTTGGGCAGGTCTTGTTTAGACACAGCCATGAACTGACAGAGAAACCCCTAGCTGTAGGATTTGCATCTATCAATGAATCGATATTGGTGTGTAATCCATCATCTTGATGGTCAACCTCTGCAAGTGCATCTTGTGTGTGCTTTGCTCACCAATATGCTTAGAAATTTGCAGAGACCAGAAATGGTGACTTTGGTTATTCTGTATTTCCTTTAACACCCAGCAAACGCCCGAGCAGCAAGAATTGAACTGAATTTCATTTTCATTAGACACATTAAATTACATTTTGTCTCTGATCTGAAAGGAGATGTGTCTCACTTTGTGATTCAGTTTAAGGTTTCAACTATTGCTTCACTTAAATCAAGCTGGATGAGAGAAAGTGCAACCTCCCGAATATAGCACCTATTAATACCAGCATTATATGCAATGCACATTAATAAAAGCAAACGTTGTCCTCCACCACACCTTAGAATAAGCACACCCCACATTTATTAAATCGACTTCATACTTTACAATCATTTGTAAAATTATTGGAAGAAATTTCTCATTAAAATAAAGGAATAAGATCCATAAAATGGCTCATCGTCCAAATACAGAAAGTTTGTATCTTGTTTTTATTATTATTATTTATTATTATTATTATTTTTGTTATTACAGGCATTACAGTTATCCAATGAAGCAAACATACTTTGTAGACTACTACCTCCCAGTAGTTGAAAGAAAACATAGTCACTGGCCTCTATGTAAAATATAAAAGCAAAAACAAACAACAAAACTCCTCTGTCCTTCTACTACATTAGCCAATGTCCCAAAGAAATAGATAATCTGAGCAGTTTACCATGATTGCATATTCAGTACAAAGTACAGTGTATGTATTCTATCATTTCCCCACCTGCAAAAACGGGGCTTAAGTGTCTTCTGCAATCAACAAGCCACCTGCCTTCTTCACACTGTCATGTCACTTTTGCAGCAACCATGCAGTTGCAGGCATGGACTTTGGGGGTGGTGGTGGTGACTGCAAAGGTTCTGGTGTAGAAATTGCAGATGGAGAGCAGGGCTCTGGGGGTGGACATGGAGAGATGCAGAAAAGAGCCTGGAGAAAAGGCTGTCATATTTGCTCAGAAGAACCGCCAAATCAGAGAGCAGAGAGGATTTCATTGGAGGAGCTCCTTCAACAGCAACTAATCCTGTCATAACGAAAGAAAATTGTAAATGTTCTCTCCAGAAATTGTCCACCCATTGCAGCTAATCGAACACAGACACACAAATACAGACAGCACTGCTCGCTCCCTGCTAGACACAAGGCATCCGGGCACAGAGACCTGCTGTTCTGGAGAGCAGGCACTGAGGACACACACACACACACACACACACACACACACACACACACACCACA